GCCTTTTCCTTCCTTGGACCACTTTTGATAGGTACTGACCACTGCAGACCGGGAACACCCCACAAGAGCTGCAGTTTTGGAGATGCTCTGACCCAGTCGCCTAGCCATCACAATTCGCTGTTACTGTCATGCAGTCACTACCTAAAACCTGATATTACTCCAACCCATATCAGGATTCATATCATAGCCTTTCATTTTTACATTTTAAACCCAGACACATACCAACCAAGGAATTCTACAGTGTAAAAATCATCTCGTCAGCTCTACAGCTAATTCGTGATTTAGTGATAAACCTTCTAAAGAATTATGAACTGTTTTGAAATATGAATTTCACGTGAAAACTTCAAGTAAGCTATAGTGTAATATCCTACCGTCTCCAAGTGCCAGCACAGCCTCTTCGTTGCCCAGGTTACGCAGGGCAAACATCGCACGATAGCGTTCAAAGAGTGGCAGACTCTCATCCAACAGGCTGGAGCGCAGCTCTGATACAGACTTCCTTGCTGCTGGAGGGGCTGGGTCTACAGAGCAGTAGGGGTTCTTATCTATGTTTTCACTGTCCAACTGTTTCTCTCCTTCACTCTGCAGCCACTCCAACCGACGAACAGCCAACTCACACGTCTCTGCAACCTGGAAAGCAGATATGAATTTGGGTTTATCGTTGCTACACCAAAGTCTTCCCACTATTCAGATAATAAAACACTTCAATAAGTTATGCAAAAGAAACACTTTTTTTTTTTTACTGGATTGCATGGATTACTACACATCTTTTGATGCAGCCCTATCATGACTGAACTCACTAGTTTGTGGAGTACCATTTTGAAGCCTTGAGTTTGCATTTATGGTCATCGCCATTTGTTTGCAGTCAGCAGCGATGACGTACAACAAGATAAGATGCTCTCATTGGTTGTGTAGATTCGTCTCATTGCAGGAAACAATGGGTGTCACTGTCACATGTATCTCGTTCTCGTATTCCAGCTACAGTACATTTAAATGTGTTTGTGAAAAGATTTGAGGAAAGAAATGTTCCTAACAAAATCTTTATTCATATTTGATCAGCACTGCCTAGTTTGACAGTTTGGTGCGTTGAGCTGGATGGACTCACTGAGAATGACTTGTCAATCACAAGATAGCCACGCCCAAAAGTACTCTCTAAGTAAAGTATACTCCTCTTTAACGTCTATTTTACTCTAAATTGTATCATAATTTACTAAATGAACATCATGCTGTATGAACCAGTCTAGAAAATAGAGATTGAGACTATAAATTCATTAGGAATCCGTTTACTAAGCTAATAAATCAAGTGAGAAGTCAGCTCACAGCTACCACCATTTTTGCCCATGCGATTTCCCATCAGTTGAAGGTATGAAGTTAATCCAAAACAATTAGTTTTCACAGCCTTCATATTTGTTCCAATATTCACCCAATATTACGCATTAAAAGTCTGGACTCACATAACATAAGTTATCCCTTGTCGTTATGAGAGACTGTTTTTGCAATTCATATTGAAAGTTGTGACAATACAGACTATTTTACATTTACCCTGATTATTGCAGTGACAATAATTGCCATTTCAGGCTTTATTGCTGAAGACATCATTGAATGATGTGTGATTGGTTTCATTTTTAAAGGCTAAGCCAAAAATGTTCAAGTCAATGTGATTATCAGGTGGCTTTCGTCAGCTAAAGTGTTGCTGGCTAATTTAATCATTTGTTTCTAATTACTGTCTGTGAGCTGGCCAAAATACAAAATCAAACTCTTTGCTACTGTCTGGCTAAGGAGGCATCCCAGTAGCTGATCAAGCTGTGTGTCCAGAGGCAAGTAGCCAGTACTCACACCTCACATCTCATTACCATCCAACTGTTCTGAGAGACAGAACTGTGGATAATAACATTTCAGCATTCCAACAGTGCATAAAATTCACTGTAAGGCCTCTACCTGAGTGTTTTTATTCAATAAAAGTGGCTACAATGAAATACCAGGGAACTCACCCCTCTTGTGCATGCGTCAGCATCGTGGTTGTCTGCCAGAAGCTGTTTTTATCCAGTTTGAAGCCACATTTTTTAGCATCCACTGTTTAGATCTTGGTGCTTTGTTTTTTTTGGTTAGTTTTAGAGAGGAAGAGACCTCTGTGGATAATTGGGCTCCCAGTAGAAACCCCCTGAACAATTTACACTGAAGGAATCCTAACCAGGGAGAAGTTGACAATCTTATTCAGTGTTCTTGGTATTTACTGGCCTGATATTACTGCATTTGTGGTTACAGGCTCAGTGTTATGTTCCTACCTCTATCACAGGATCCTGACTGTACTCTTTCAGTAAGTCCAGAACCATAGGATCACCAATTGCTCCCAGAGCCTCCCCTAAAGAAAGACACACAGTCAGAGTGGCAGACAGACAGACACAGAACTGTTGCTTCTAGTTCTTATGCAGCTCCAGTAATTGTATTCTGTTAAGTAAATACATGTGTTTTATGTGATCATGTGCTGTTATATCCACACACATTGTCTACATTACTGTAATCATCTATACATTTTCTGCTGCTAACAAAGGCTGTCTGGCTTATGCCTGTCCTACCGACTCTTCCGTTACATTTCTGCCCGAAAAACAGCGT